ATATAAAATAAAATTTATTTGAAATCACCTTTTTTAAAAAATAATATACATATTAAATATAATCTATGATGTTATATGTGAGGGTGGCACAGTAGCTAGCACGATTGCTTTGTGGTGCTAGAGTCCTGGGTTCAATTCCAGACCTGGGCTACTATCTGTGTAGTCTATCTGTTATCCTCATCTTTATGTGGGTTTTCCCCAGGGGCGCCAGTTTGACATATGACATACAGTAAGACATATGGTAGGCTAATTGGCTTCTGGGAATATTTTCCCTGGTATGAGTGTGTGTTGTGTGCCCTGTGATGGACTGTGCCTTGTCCAGGATGTGTCCTGCCTTATACATGTTTCTTTCTGGGATAGCTCTGGCTCCCCTTTAACCCTGAACTGAAAGGAGTTGAAAAATGCATGAATAAATGTTATATCTGAATATAAAATTTAAGTGCCTTCCAAAAGTACTCTGGTTTTTGTACAATTCTCACATTGTGCTGGTTAAAAACTTGAAATCGTGATGCTTTGATTAAGCAATTAATATTTGTTAATTAATATATTAATGGACCCCAGTCTATCGCAGAAGAAATATGAAAGAAGAAAGTCAATAGATAATTAAAAATAAAAATTGAAAAGTCTTGATTGCATAAGCCTTATGCTGTGGCAAACCTAAATTAATTGAGGTGTACAAAATTATCTTAACAACCCACACAAGGAACCTTTGCAATGATAGCGTCTCACATGATCTCATTATAAATATACCTATTCCTGCATGATCCTTCAGTCCAGTAGAGTATTTGAAGAAAAGCCAACAAGCTTTCAGAACTCTGATAATGTTGTATATGTGTTCAGATGACTGAACATCCCTTTAAACATGGTGAGGTTGATCATAAAGAACTGGAAGGAACAGAATATATTGCTAACCAAATAATGCCTAGATTTAATTGTCAGTCCAAACTAAGCAGCAGGGCATGGTGAATACTGCTTAGTGATGACACCATTAAGGCCAATGCCAACTTTGAAAGAGTTCAATGGCTCAGATGGCACAAAAAATGTCAATGGGACAACAATATCCCAGTTCATCCACAAAGGAGCTTGAATGGAACTGGAAAAATATTCCTGCATGTGTTTGAATCAAACTACCTATCTGATACTGCAAACATGTGACAAAATGTTTTGAGGTCTCACAGGATAAAGTTGGATTTTTTTAAAACAGGTCATTTAAGCATTATATTATACTATAAGATGACATAGTGATTTCTCAGACATTGATCTGGCATCAAATTATGTACGTGTTACCACACAGAAACTTATCCCATAGAAACCTAAACTTAAACTTAAACTTAAACAGAAACTTAAACCATACAAGCAGTACAATTAAATCCTACATACTGCAACATATATACACATTCATATTCATTTTACTCTTCTCCTACAGAAAACAAAGAACCCTGATATTTACACCAACCACACTACAACCATATGAATAGCAAAACATCTCTTACATTTTGTACATAAGCAAAGCACTGTACATAGATTTTTATCTGATCTTATTGACCTGTGGGAAGGTTATTATTTCAGATTATACATTTTTTACATACATTTACTATGCACAACTGGATTAGTCTGTACCTTATCTCACCCTACCTTCAGACCTCTCTATTCTATATACTTTGTCTGTGTGCAGGTGAGGTTGCTGTTCAACTGTTCCCACATTTGAATCAGCTCATCAGGAGCCAACTTATGGACCAGCAGCAAGTCACGGTACCAACAGGGGTTTTTACTCATCCCATTTTCTCTGCTTTTAACTTTGATGCCCAGTGTCTTAATGCCACTGTGCTCCTTGGGGCTGACCTGGAGCACTTTGAGACACATGCCTATAAACGCATCATCAATAGGGAAGATTTCCAGCTCATTTGAAGCACCGTACATCCTCATAGCCAAGGGGCCTCCCATGAGGAACCCTCCTCCTCCTACATATGGAGGGTAAAAAGTCTCACTGAACATCACTTCTGGGATGAAGTATTTGCTATTCCTGTCTCTGTTTGGAGCAGAGGTTGTAAGGACATCCCCAGTGATCAAGTCTGTTGTGTTCTTGTTACTTTCCAGAAATTCTACTACATTGACAGTGTTTACAAAGACATCATCGTCTCCCTTGAAGATGTACGGCACGCTTTGACAATAGATGGAAAACCACTTTAGGAAGCCAACCTCCTTGAGGGTGAGGTTGTAGAAACTGTCTTCAAAGTCCCACTGGAGGATGTCTCCAAACACCCTGTCCTCGTATTCCAGGAGCTTCTGGTGGTGAGCCTGCTCTTCTCCTTTGGAGTCTGTCCCCAGCAGGAACAGGAGTCTGATCTTCTTGCCCCTGATCTCCTTCTCCTGTCCCCAGGTCCTGCGGATGGCCTCCCTGCGCTTGTACTGTGTGATCACGGACTTGACCACCATCAGGAGATAGATGTCTTCTCCGCATTTCTCTGGATGGTTAAAGATCATTGGGAAGTACCTACAGTGCCGGTACAACAGGAACCGCTGGATACGTTCCCCCACTCCAGCAAACCACGGCATGCTGACCATGCTGGAGTTGGCAGAGCAGTTGGCATTTGTAACATCCCATCCTTGGACCAAGCTGTTGTCAATGAATGATCTATTCTCATACTCCATCCAGAAGGAACCAAGTCCTGGGAAAGCCATACTCTTACTCTTACTGTCTTTCTGTATGTCCTGGTAATTCTTGTCAGGATCAGAGTTCTGGTACCTCAGCACTGCTACCTGCACAATGACACCTATTACCAGAAGGATGACCACTAAAATGATTCTTTGGAATTTGTTACTAATCTTCCGCCTAATCCTACTGAGAGACCTACAAGGGAGGGAGAAGCAGAAGGTAGTTACAACTGGTATGCACAGCCAGTAAGGTGAGAACAATCTCTAAAACATGATAGTAAACAGGTTCGCGTAGGCACTGTATGACTGGTGTGAAGGAACAAGTTAAAGTGTTCAAAGCTAAATTTATTTTGTTAAAAACATTTCTTTTCATTTCTTTATAATATTCAAATCTGTAATCCAAATCGTGAAACTCTTTAATGTCTGTGTGTACCTTTTACAAGAATGGAGCCCTGTGAGGACCACATTCCACAGATTACTCTGGCGAAATGAACTGCTCTTCTCTGCCACTTAACTAGCTTTCTCTTCCTGATTTTTAAATAGTCAATAGACAAACTGTCTTCCAGCAACAGGTGAGGTGAAAGAGGACACCAGAGGAATCTGAGAAATGTGGTTGTCAAAGGAATATGCTGTCACACCTATAAAAGAAAAACACCGTCTTATGTGCTGTGAGTTATACTAATTTTAGTAGTGAACTTGTATTTGTTAGAAACAGCTCTTATCTACATATAACTATTTTGTAAAATGAGACTGAGAAAAGGAAAATAATTCATATCATTCTTGCTTCTAGTCTCGGGTCAAGCCTTGGAAGAACTGAATACCTCTCACTGAGAAACCCAGTCTTAAATGTTTCATGATATACAGTATATACACTGTAGACATCTCCCTTGAAGAGAACATTCTCTGTCTATCTAATAGAATTGGGAAACAAGTCTCAGGAGGCCATTGACTAATGCAAAGGAAAGATAAATCATTCCTTGATTTGAACCAGAACTCCTTTCAGAACCCAGATTAGTCTTGAGAGTGAATAAGATTGTTTCCTGAATAAACTCTTTTGCTGCACAGTAGTGATGCATTTATAATCGTAATAAACACTAAAATTGTAATAAAAATATATAAAAAGTGATATTTATAACACTTTTATAAATATTATAACAGTGATCTAATTCATTTACGCCATTCAGTTATTCACCTACAGATAATGATGACAATAATGAAGATTTAGACATAATACAGATTTACACCTGGCTAGATATTATTTGTACTGCAACTGATGCACAGTATGAGAAGTTTGTGTGTTGTCACGTAATCATCTACACTTGTTGATGATCAATTAAGCTGATCCCATGATTTTGGAGTTTTATTAGACCCTAGAAAAGGTAGTAAATGTTCTTCAAAGTTTTAATTAAATTGAATCAGATAATGGTTACTATTTTAACAGTTGCACCTGTGAGACAGCTCTGTTATTCATGAAAAGATTTTTTGCAATTACAGGAAACCTTAGCTTTACAATCCTCAATGACATGAAATTATACAATTTACTGTATATGTTTTAATGATACATTTATGTAATAAATAACATAATTTATATGAATTATGTTTAACAAATGTCTGCACAATTAACATAGTTAATGAACATAATCATATTTTTAATTAGCACAATATACCAACAATATACTAATACTCACATTTCTGCAGAAAAGAAGAAAGCAGGTGAGTTATTTAGAGTGGAAAGTCACAACAGAGACTCCCTACAGACAGACTCCACAATCCCTTTCAGTGTGGAAAACCATCTCTGGCTTAATATATATTCGTCATACAGGCAGTCCTTGCAGTCGTCTTGTAAACCAATTGTACACCCAGGCACATGCAGACATTTGAATAGCTAAGGTTTTCATAGGCTGTTGTTCCCTTTGTGTCACCCACCTGTTCTTTTGTCCTCCCTCTACTGTACATAACTCTGGAGGCACTCTCTGGGTATGGCTAGGGGCCAGACACCAAATCCATACTTGTCCTCATTTCTACTGCATGTGGTGGCTCAAAGGAAGCAATTGAAAAAGAAACAATGCATTCAGGTAGGATGAGACACACCTGTAATGCTAAACATAGGATTAACAGAAATAAACAGAAATTGTATTAGGTCATCTAGCAAGGAAAACTGAATCTTTTGTTCATGTCAGCTCTGCTTTTAATTTTTTTTCTCTTCAGGGCATCTTCCATTTGAGTTAGATATACTCTGAACTGCATGTGGCGACTTGTTATCTCTTGAAGTTAAAGATATAAAAAATTTAGGACATTTTTGTTCTTTCACTTATTCTCACCTAGAAGGACCTGGTGGTCAGAAACTGGCATTATGACAATATTATGTGACATTACACAAAACACTTTAATGTTTCATTAACCTTTACTGGAGAAAAAACATTTTCTCTAGGAATACATTAGAAATGTTGGAGAAAGAATACCCGAAGCCATAGCGTCATGCTACTTGTCCATGCTGATGTTACATGTTGTTTATTGGGGTGGGCTTAGAATGGGATGGGGGGCATGGGTGAAGTTTGTTGATTTCCTCATGTCCTAATCATTTTCAGAGTCTGGTACACATTGGATATTTTTATGGAATATTTTGTGACTCCAACCTGATCAGTGTCCATTTTGGGTGCAATCATTTAGCTTCATTTTTCACAGACCAAACTATATTTTTACAAAATAACATTACAGGAATGCTTATCTTATATCTCTCTAACTAAACAAATCATTTCAGAGCAATTTGAGACTGTGGATGTTATGGTGTGTGATTTGACATGGAATGACCTATTTCTGTTTCCTTTTTGTTGGTGGGTATTATGGATATGTTAAAGGGAAATGAAGTGGTATATATCAATCGTCTTTGTCTTTCCCATCAAAACATTCTCCTTTAGAGTCTCAGGAAATGTGATCCAGGGAAACTCGTACCTCTCAGTTATCAACTTTGCTCTTTTTATCTAGTAGACTGTTCAGTAGTTTTGCAGAAGAAGATCTCATAGACACAGATGGAAATGTAACTACTACCTTTCAGAGTTTATTAGCTGCAGTGCTTGCACACTTTAAATCGAGAAAGTGCTTTGTTTATGTCATAGCAGGGACATAAACAGAAGCCAACTACACCACCAAGCAGTTTTAAAGATGTTAGGACCTTTCTCTCCAAGCAGGCTGCCATATTCCCTGAAGCCTCCGGTTCCCCCGCAGACCAGTACAAGACATGTATAGCACTCACATCCAGTTTTTATGTTTCTAGAGCCCCACTATTTTATCACTTTCTACTAAATAAAAGAACAAGGAAAAAATATCCACAAAGTAATTAAACACACAAACTTATGAACTCCATGAAGGTAAAAGCCCACCAGCGCCACTCCGCTGAATGAGGTGAATAGAAGGTGCACCTCTTATTTCTTTAAAGAAAGTAATGAAACTTCTTGCAGTCCTTCAGTTGCCTATATGCAGGTATTCAGGTACATTGTCCTTATCTTTCTTCTCTGACCAGCTGGTCCACATCTGGATCAGCCTGTTAGGAACACACCTAGGCAATCTTATGGTTGACCTTTGACTGGGTGGTATTTGAAGGGTATCAGAGCAAAGAGGTTGTAAATTCAACCCTTTGTAGCACGGACCCAGAAAGCAAGGTACTTTTTTATTTCAAGTGCAAGAAAATTAAAAAAAACAAATTTAGAATCTAATCTTTAAGTTTCTGATTTACAACTTCAATCCCCCTGCAAGATTCCTGGCTGAGAGGTTAAGCTGCTCCCAAACAATTTGAAATTCTTTCCCTGAGACTAACCATGAAACTGATACTCTCTCCAAGAATTCTCTCAAGCACACTTGATCCAATATGTTATACTACATTTCAGCACCCGGGCACACCAAAAAAAAACAGGAAAAAACCTTACAGAAGACAAACAGAAACTGTCAGTGAGCAGTAAGGAAAAGACCATGATTTGAAGGAGGAAGAGAAAGAATTCCTTTTTTCCTCAAATGCCACTTTTTGGTATAGAAACAAAAAAAAATCCCACAGGACGTTCTGGTGATCATTAGTGAAATGTCTCTTACCTTATCTGCTTACTCAGGAATCTCCAAATGCAACATAATTCCTGGTAAAGCGGATAAAAACACAGAACAGCCTATGCTTGGGTGAGGGTGCTTAGAGACATGAAGAACCATGTTCAGCCAAGCACAAAGCCTATTTAACAACAAATTTGCTACAGTATGTACAGTATGTGCAGTTTTGTAAGTGACAAGTATGGGAAATTTAAACTTCTTTATGACAATTGCCTAAATCCCACAACTATGCATTTCTTTGACCTGTGTTGGAGGAAGGGTCACTTTTTTACAGAAAATGTTAAACTGAGCTACTGATTACTATTAAAAGTCCCATGACACTCTTCATATTTTGTAATTTTCATGATTTTGGTTGTTAATCCTGTGTCATAGGTAAATCCTACTTCTGGTTCCCACAAGTATAATGCCATTTGCAGTGTCTTTGAAACAGTGTTGGTACCCAGCTTCATTTCAAATAAATTACCAAATCCGAAACCAGACATCATATTTTGCACTTCCAAGCTACTTGACATATAAATAAAAGTAATATATTTCCCAATATATAATAAGATAAGAGTAGTTCAGGTGGGTAGCTGCGTCACCAGCCTTCTTCGGGTGTCAGCCTGAAGCCTGAGTCTGAACTTTCACCTGAGCCTTCTTCAAAATGTTGTTTTCTTTCTTCTCTTTCAGCCTGGAATAAACCTATTACCTGTTTCTATAATAAGATAATTTACTGTAATAAACATCATACCTACAGATACAATAAATAATTGGAAAACAGACTCAAACTATAATTTTATGGTGATCAGTTTTATGGTTTAACTGATAATCAATATTCATAAAGACAAAAAACATAGTTTTTTAATGCAATACAATAAACAGAGCATGAGACCAAAGTTGAAAGGAGGGAGATCATATATTTGTTCTTGCTAATTTTCTAACAGTCATTTATTGGCCTTCACTCCCTGGTTAAGAGCCACCACCAATGAACACCTTGCAAAATATACTCTCATATCCTCTTTCTAATTATAGTAAACAAATGACAAATTATGTTTTCTATTTTTTAAATATATAACATATTAAATACCTTTTAAATAAAAAAACATAACACATTAAAGTAGAAATGTTATTAGATTATACAGTAGATATACTAAAATTACATGTTTAAACTTTTATAATTAGTGACAAACCTTTACTGTAGTTTGTGCTAAAACCCTGTTTTTCTGGTTGTTTTGTAACCTATGTGCGTAAGAAAAAGAAGAGGTATGTCATTAAATGCTACCAGTACCATGTGAAAAGAGGCAGGAAAAGATCGAGAGAGCTTTCAGACAGGACAGATTAACCAATGGAATGCAAGTTAAAAAACTGGTTTGTCCACAACTTCTTAGTGTCACGGATGCTGGAAAAGTCTGCCGTGGAATGAACAGAAGAGCAGTAGAGATGATGTTGGCCTGTGCCCTCAGGGGATGAGGCCTGACAACATAGGAAATGGAAACCAGACACACTGGAAGGACATGAATAATCACACGGAACTAGGAACAGGAAAGAAGTGGAGCGCCCTCTAGTGGATGGATGTTGACCAAGAAAGTACCACACGTAGGATAAGCTGAACAGCACAGGGGGGAGGAAAAACCTAATTTAACTGTCAGGAAACCTCCGGGAATCCACAGCTGAGAGCAACCCCCTCCTCTGGGGTTATAATAAAATCTATTAACGTGTGGTAGAGGGAGCCGGAAGTCTCTTGTGGACCGGGCACTTGGTCTGTGGAAAAGTTCCATGACTACATGATCGATCACATGAAGGATCCTCTGGTCCTTCAGTAACCTTTCAATCTGTTAAAATTATTTTCTATCTTGGTACAGGTAAATATCTATATATTTTTACTGTGAAAGGTGTCTTAAAATCAAAACTTTCATATTTGAGTTTCAAAGTGAGAGCTCAAACAGATTTTGAAAGAAGTCAAATAGCTGGTGTCGGAATTGCAGGTGCTTCAGTCAAAGAAACAGCTAAATTATTAAAATATGTCAAGGGGAACAAATCATGACAGCATACGCCAAACAAGGGAAGACAGCATCAGGAAAGAAGAGGAGTGGTTGTCAAAAAGTCAAATTTATCAATGGTGATAGACAGAAGAGGAAAGTTTCTAAAAACCACAAAACAATAGCCTGATGCAGACACAGCCTATGAGACCACAGAGGAGATCGATCCAGGAACTGCAGACCGAGGGAGACTTTGGCAGAGGAACAGAGGCACTGCATAGAGACATTTAATACTTGAAGGCGAGGAGCAGAGAAACTGGCCTGGTGAGTCGATACTGACCCAAGGGGAATGTGGTGTAGTCTGAAGGAGGACTCCCAATATAGCCCAAACCAAGACTGGGCAAGTTGGACTGTGTGGCATTCCTCTTCTATGCATTGCTGTCCTTCTCTGTAACACCAAGACTTTCTAACACCCTCTCCTCATCACCTACAACTATAGCAGACCCTCAGGATGAGGTTTAGGATCCTTTCCTTGTTGCAACTGCTGTTTTCGTTGTGTCTTGGGCTGATAGTAAATGTTATCGTACGTAGTAAATTAAAAGGGCACTTTTAATTATATTAATGCTTGTCACTGGTCTGTGTGTGCATTGGTAGTTCTGGGAAATGAACAGACCTTCCTTCCTAACATATCAATGGGTCTGTAATGGTATGGACAGTT